AACAATATCTGACATTTTGTATTAATAATGTATACATTTTGTATTTTAATGTATATAAATAGTGTATGAACAATATATACGAAAATCAATGTTTATAGTTGTACGTAGCTATTATTGATTTGTAATATATATATGAATCCTGTATAAAAATTGAATTAATTGTATATTTTTTTTTTATTAAATTGGATAAATTGAGTATGAAATTGTATTTTAGATTGTATGTAGAATTTAGTTGTGTAGTATGCAGTATGTATAAAAATTGTTTTAATTTTGTATTAATTTAAAATTTTGTTATTGTATATATATAAGTGACTTGTATATAATTTTGTGTGATTTGTGTATTAATTTTGTACTAAACAATGTATTAATTGTGTATTAAATTATAATAGTGTATAAACAGTGTGGTAATTGTGTATTAAATTATGTATAAAGTGTGTATTATTTTTTGTACGAAGTGTATGAAGTGTGTGGTAAACAGTGTATGATTTGTGTATTAATTTTGTATAAAATGGTATTAAGTGTGTAATAAACAATGTATTAATTGTGTATTAAATTACAATAGTGTATAAACAGTGTAGTAATTGTGTATTAAATTGTGTATGAAGTGTGTATTATTTTTGTACGAAGTGTATGAAGTGTGTGTTAAACAGTGACTTGTATATAAATTGTATATGAAATGTGTGTTAATTATGTATGAATAAATTTTTAATTTTATTATGGGATGCACTGAATGTAATTTTAATATTGTGAAACAGGGAAATACGTCGACTTTGAAATGGAGGGCATCCTATATGATACTTCTACTCTTTATACTGGCTTAGTTAATTCTATAGTAACTTAGCTAAACATAGAAGAAAATCTAAATTCTGTTGAGATAAAGTATATAGTTAGCGAAATGTGTCCACCTATAAAAATTCATAATGATGTTGGGGTAAAGGTTTATCTAGATCAGATGAGGGTGAATTTGGATTTTTTTACAAAATATCCATTATGCATCACTTTGAAAGATTGTGGGCAGTATAACGAATGTCATAGAGTTATAGTTAATGATATAATAAATTCTGATGTTAGATTATCACAGAATAACATAGATCTATACTCCAACAATTCTATCCGTTTGATCGGAATGGATTTAGATGGAGTTGTCAATGATAATAGTGAAGTAGATAATGATATAATATGTGATCATTCTAATTTATTTGTAGCTGAAAATCAGATTTATAATAATAAAGAAACCCTTAAGGAGGTTATGAGGCATGTTGGACTTGTTGAGAAGTTCAGCTTTCGGGTTGCACGTTGTAATGCATCTAAGTAAGTTTAAATTTTTTTTTGTTTTGTTACAATGTATATATATTGTAATGTATATTTTATTAAATTTTGTAACAATTATCACCTGAATTGTATTTCTAAGAGTTGTTCTTGGATGATAAGGGCATCTAGTTTGAATAAATCTAGTTTATTCAAAGTTCGGAAGTATATTGCTCAGCATACATGTTGTGTTAGAGAAAGAATTTATGTCAGACGTCAAGGGATAACTGACGTTGTAGCTGTCTTGATAATGGATAATTATATTGATCCATCTAAGGTATATACTCCAAAAGATGTAGCTGATGATATGTTGAAATTGCATGGTGTTTTGTTGACATACATACAGGCATGGAGAGCTAAAGAAAAAGCAGTAAAGTAGGTGCGAAGAGATCCAGCAGAATCTTATGCAAGATTACCTGGTAATTTCGAATATAATGATAAATTTAAACATTTGTTATTTTGTTGTGTAGTAACAGTTTCGTGTATTATTTATGTATAATATATATATTTTTTATTTATGAATTGGGCTGTTATTTTCAGGTAATTTCAAAAATAATGATAAATTTATATAGTAACAGTTATGTGTATTTTTTATGTATGAATTGGAATGTTATTTTCAGGTTATTTTTATATTTTGGAGCAAACATATCCTGGATCTGTTTTGAAAATAAAAAGGAATGAAGATGATACATTTTTATATTCATTTGTTGCTTTAGAAGCATGTATTAGGGGCTGGGAATATTATAGGTCAATTGTAGTTGTTGATGGTGTTGCATTAAAATGTTCATATGGTGGTACAATGTTAACTGCAAGCACATTGGATCCGGGAGGTAAAATATTAACCTATATAATTTTCTAATTATATAATATAATGAAAAAATATATGAATGATATTTTTGATTTGTGTGATATTTTTTTTAATAATTAATGAGCAGGTCATATACTTCCGTTGGCGTATGCGATAGTAGATTCTGAAAATGATGCTTCATGGACATGGTTCTTTGAGCAATTTAGAGAAGCATATGAGTTAGACAAAATATGTGTTTTATGTCAGACAGAAATGAAAGCATATGGAAAGGACAACAAATGTATATCCTGAATCAGAACATTATGCATGCATATGGCATTATCAGTCAATGTTTTGAAGAATTTCAATAGAAATACTGAAGATTTGAAGATGTTGTTCTTTTCATTGGCAAAAGCTTATACAAAACAACAGTTTAACACAATTCTGGGAAGAATAGATCAGATAGATACGCGAATACGACCATACTTGTTTGATATTGGTTATAGCAAATGGTCAAGAACTTACTCGAATTGTAAGCGCACATGGACCATGACTTCAAACATCGCGGAGTCATTGAATAATGTTAACAGATTAGCACGGAGGTAACCGGTGATTTCACTTCTTGAGTTTATGAGGGTGACAATTCAGAGGTGGATTCACAAGCATAATGAGGAGGCTGATAAGACTACATCTAATCTGACAAAAAAATATGATGTTTATCTACAGAAAAGTATTACGTTGTCGTGCAATATGAGGGTATGTGTTTCACTGTATTGTATTTTCAATTCATACTAATCTTCAACATGTATAATTTTTTTTTTACACAGGTGATATCTTCAACTGTTGATCTGCATGTTGTAGCTGAAGGAGCAAAGAAATACATAGTAAATTTGAACACAAGGATGTGTAGTTGTGGAAGATTTCAACATTATGAGATACCATGTGATCATGCAGTTGCTATTCTCCGGTACAGGAAGTTACATGAATCAGATTTTTGTTCTGCTTTTTATAGCCTCAAGAATTTCAAAGATGCTTATGACATTCCTGTCGAGCCTATCCCGTGCGAGAGTACATGGAATATACCAAGTTATATTTCAGATCCTAAATTGATGCCGCCTGGTCCAAAAAGAGCAGCAGGAAGACCCAAACTTGAACGGTGGAAGGGATTCACAGATGTGAAATTCAAGAAGAGAAAAAGCTCATGCAGTAGATGCCATCAGGTTGGACACAATAGGAAGACTTGTTCAAATTATCCTGTACAAAAACAATGATGTCGTAATGTTAAATCTGTGTTTTTGAGGCATTACATTGTTATAAAATATTTTTTTATTGAATAATATTACTATTCATACAAATGTCATACATTGTATATACAACTGTTCATATATTAAAAAATTAAATTATAATATGTTATAATTCATACAGTTTTCATACATTATTCATACCAGTAATGTACTTACAATTTGTTTCTGTTTGTATTTTGAAATATATATTTTATAATTTGTCATAATTCATATATTTTTTCATACAATATTCATACCTGTAATATAATTAATATTTGTTTCTGTTTGTATTTAAAAGTGTATAGTATTCATGCAAAAAAAATTTATGGAATAATTTAACATTACTATGTACTACATATCAAATTTTAATATGACATTCATAATTCATATGATTTTCATACATGGTTCATAAAGTTTCATATATGTTAAAGTGAGACACATTTAGTAATAATCAGTAATAATTTATATAAAACCATCAGTAGTCATAATAAAAGTACAAACAGAATCAAATTGTATGTATATTACTGGTATGAATAATGTATGCAAGATGGTGATACACATTTATTAATGTATAATTGTATGATATAATTCATACATTTTTCATACAGTATTCATACCAGTAATGTAATTAATATATGTTTCTGTTTGTATTTGAAAGTGCATAGTATTCATGCAAAATAAATTTATGGAATAATTTAACATTACTATGTACTATATATCAAATTTTAATATGACATTCATAATTCATATGATTTTCATACATCATTCATACAGTGTTCATATATGTTAAAGTGAGACACATTTAGTAATAATCAGTAATAATTTATATAAAACCATCAGAGTAGTCATAATAAAAAAAACTGGGAAAATACATAAATTGTTCATAAGTTAAAAAAAACAAGTCATTCAAATAAATGTACATTGTGCCATGAAGATTTCTACTTCCTGGTACGGAATTTTGGAGTAGGATAATTGGTGGTGTCCATAACTTGTTCTTTATGAGTTCAAGGTCCACCCTTCTTGCTAGCAACTGTTCATGTAACTTCATCCAAAGTAATGTAGCATATCTTTGACGATGATATGTTGAATCAATATCAATATGTGATATATCAAAAACATCATTGCTCATGTACTCGGCAAATACAGATGTGTATAAACCACAATCACTGTAAAGAAATTGAAAAGAAAAAATTTGTAATGAATATATAGCAATTTCAATTTAAAATGAATAAAAAATAATGTAAGAAATATACATACTTTGAACTTTCTTCTTGTTGAGGAACATGTGTAACATTCTTGATACTTAGAGGTTCAGAGTGAGACTTCTGTTGATAATCAGGGAGATTATTCGTATACAAATCAAGTCTTTTGCCATAAAACCCTGTGCTCGTCAGAAATAAAGGAATCATGGTTGCAAGCTTATCAACAGCTTCTTTGACTTTCCTTGAATGAACAGATCCTCCCATCATCGAATCATATACTTATAGACATCTACTTTTGATTCGGAATACAACAAGAAATCAATGGAATTTGTCATTGATGTTGATTGGGATGATTATTTCGTCAACCCTATCCCACGGAATGTTAGCAAGCAGCTTATATCCTCTAATGCATTGTCCAACATCATGGTCCGGTGATATGCATCTCATGTCACATTGTGATTGTTTCCACTGTTTCTCAATGTTATCAACCCATGCCATAAACCAACAATCAACAGTGCTGTAAGAAGTGACTGTTTGGGAGTATTTTGCCTTCTTTCGGAGATAATACATTATTGTATTAATATGTTGTTGTAACAAAAAAAATACCTATCTGATTCATTCACTGTTCGCACATATTTCATACAGAAAATATTCATACATATATCACTGCAACTCAAAACCATAATAATTAGTTGAAAAAAGGTCTTACCCCGTCCTCCCAAGGTCTCCCCGGTTGACTCATTATGTGAAAAAAATTCTTCTCTCCGATTTTGATAATGTCAAAGTCCATTTGAGGATGAAATATGTTTTTAATCTTGGAATATGCTGCTTTTCTGTATATGTTTAAAAAAGTGTTATATCAATTTAGTAGTTTAGAAATTAAATAAAATAATTTTTATCATCGTTCAAATTACTTGCCACGCCTGCTCGACACATCTTTGAAAATCCATTTATTGAACTCCTCAATCAGTTCATCTGGTACATCAAACCCATTGTGATTTTGGAATGGATGTTTATTTGAAAGAATGTAGGTACTCTATTTGAACTGCTTTCTCCTTCCGACATTCTGATATAAGGAGAAGAATCATATTTACCCACATTCTTGTGTTTTATTCGCACCATTTGGAGTCGTGGTGGCATTAAGAATCGGATCAAGGGCAATTATTTGTGTCATGGTAAAATAAGGATAATCGTCCAATGTTGGTGGTTTTGATTTTGACGTTGTAGATGCATCAACATTTAAACAATCATCCGTTGACTTTTGAGCTGCATATACATGAAAAATTGTTAAATAAAAAAAATTTAAAATTTTCATTTATGTGATAAAAATGAATATATCGTACCAGCTGTGTTTGAACTTTGGACTTGTTGTCCAGTTGTCTCTGTAGGCATGTCTGTTGGATCAGATTGTGCAACATGATGGTTGGCGTTTTGCTGAAACATGTATTCATACACATGTAATACGAAACGAATGCAGTGAATCATACACAATTCTAATAAACTTACAACATAATATTGAAAAATACATAATTCATACAGATAGTATACAAAAAATAATACAATATAATCATACACATTTCAAACAAACTTACAACATTCTTTCATAGACAATATATTCAACACCAACTATACAAATCAAAACATAAAGTATAACTAATTATGGATATTACTATTCACCAGTATCAAAAAACTTGATACAAAAAAATTTATACACAATTCATACACATTTTATATATACAGTGATAATATAATGAATCATACACAATTCATACAGTGGATCATACACATTTCATACAGTTAATCATACACAATTCATACAGTGAATCATACATAAAAAATACATGTTTCAGCAATTGAGATTGTAATATGAAGAAATCTGTAATTTCATACAGTGTATCATACACAATTCATACATTATTTATTTACACAAAATTTATATATTAAATATATTATACCCAAATAACAGAAAATAAAAATAACAGAATTTATATATTTTTCAAACAAAATTCATACAACTCTCTGAACTTCGCGACGACATGGCAGGACGGACCATCGTGGGAACGACAGGCCGTCACAGGCTCTTCAGTAAAATTCAATCTCTGAACTCTATGACGACTCAGCAGAACGGACCGTCGCAGGCACGACGGCCCCTCACAGACTGCGTAACCCTGACTGGGTCGGATTTCTGTTAAAAGTTTTAAGGGGCGTTTTGGACTATTCCTGCTTATAATTATAAAGTTAGGGGTTTAATGTTAATAATTCAATTACTTGGGGGTTAAAGGAGATAACCTTGAATTAATTAGTGGATTACTTTGGTCATCTTTTATACTTAATTATATGGTAATTAGGGTAAAAGAAAAAGAGTTTGAATAAGAAAAAATCAGAAAAAGAGAAAGAGAGGGAGAACGATCGAGAGAAGAGAGAGAAACGAAGAAGAAAGCAAAGGTTTTGGGGGATAGCTTGCTTGATCACGAATTCTTCGGTGGAGGTAGGTTATGATTTATGTTATTTCGTAGTAAAACTCTTAATAGCGAATGATATGTATTGGGTAATTTTGTAAAGTCTTCTATATGCTTAATTGTGTGCTTGCATGATATGATTATGTAATTGTGATGAATTAGCATGATGAGGCTGTTGAATCTTAAACCTTAAAACCTCTCTATTAATGATGATGCCTTGGTATAAAAGAAGGCTTGATGAACTAAAAAGAATGAGGTTAATGGATCGGGTGTCATGAACCGACACATAGTATTAGGGGATCGGGTGTCACGAACCGACACATAGTATTAGGGGATAGGGTGTCACGAGTCGACACGTAGTATTAAGGGATCGGGTGTCACGAGTCGACACGTAGTATTAAGGGATCGGGTGTCACGAACCGACACATAGTATTAGGGGATCGGGTGTCACGAACCGACACATAGTATTAGGGGATCAGGTGTCACGAACCAACACATAGTATTAGGGATCGCGTGTCACGAATCGACACGTAGTATTAGGGGATCGGAGTGTCACGTTCCGACACAAGAGGAATAAAGAGAATGAATCTTGAATTATCTTAATATACTCAAAACTTAAAGAACCTATTTCCCAAACGAATATGGTATGGAGGCGTGAGTCCTCATAGATACGCTTGGGTTGTGGCCAATGGTTATGGTACTTGTTGTTATCTGTTGAGTACTGTAGTTGATTTTATGATATTATTTGATGCATATTGTTTTCTATTTTGAGTTGGCCGATGATATCTACTCAGTACTTGTACTTGTACTGACCCCTACTTGTATGTTTCTTTCTTTGACATTTGTGGAGTTCAGCAAACGTGCCATCGATTCCGACTCAACCGCAACTCTAGCCAGACTTCAGCATAATCAGATTTCAGGGTGAGCTATTGTTCCTAGCTCGGACTGGATTCTTTCCTTCGCGTCTTGATGTCTTGAAGTTCGGACAAAAACCATTTCTTTTACTTATTTTAGCTTCTTAGATACTCTTAGATTTAGTAATTTGAGGATAGATGTTCTTGTGATGATGACTTCCAGATTTTGGGGAATGATAAGTATTGAATTTTAGAAGTTATTAATTGATTTCGTTAATGAGTTTTAAGTTTCCGTATTATATTCTGTTTATTATGGTTGAAATGTTGGGGTTTAGATTGGTTGGTTCGCTCACATAGGAGGTTAAGTGTGGGTGCCACTCGCGACTCGTTTTGGATCGTGACATATGTTCACTATCAACAGCACGATTTTTCGATGATCTGGGATTTTCTGAATCATGGTGGCTGCTGGACTG